CCTGCTCGGCCAAGGGTTAGTGCTCGTCAGCACCTTCTGTGTCACCAGCAACAGCGCAGAGGCGTCTCGGGGCAGAGAGCTGCCAACCTCTGAGGCCTGAATTTAAGCACTTTTTTTTTCATCTCACTTCAAAGGTACACTGAGAGATTGTCCCACGATGAAGGTTTCAGGATTAGGTCCACGGGAGGAACATGTGAAGGACCTACCAGTGCCAGGTGCCTCTCGCAGACCACATCAGGAGCGGCAGCATGAGAGGCTCCCAAAGCTGCCAGAGAGGCTGAAGATGAGCAAGTACTGCTTAAGGGAACCAAGAAACTGGCATCAATGAGAATGACACAAGGACTACCATCTCCTGAAGCACACAGAGACATAGCAGACACACATCTCTGAAGAAGAAAAGGGATGATGCCTCCAGGGAGGATTTCTCAGTGTAAGCTGCCTGGTTGTGACCACCAGCCTATGGCACCAGCTGCCAGTTTGGAGGTGCACACATTGTACCTTCCAAACCAAGAATCCCAGTCTGCTCAGACCAGGACTCACACACCAGACACCTCTAACTTTGCTCCCAACTTGTCCCATATTTTGGATGATCAGCTTAGTCTCTTCTTTCTCTACCCCAAGCAGACAGAGCTTCAGATGGTGCTGTGCAGTTCCTTGGCAAGGGGCAGAGAGCCTGCACATTATCCAGGTTTACTTCCACCAAAGGGAGCTCATACACCACTCTGCAGAGCAGTATGTGCCAGCCTTGTAGCATCCAAGGAGTTGCCACTAGCAGGAGTCTTGCTAAAGACCCACAAACATGAGCTGTGCAAAATCACACAGCTATAACCCACTGCATCAAAAACTGGTCACGGCTTCAAGCACACTCAGTGTCTCAACACTGTCTGTGGAAGACAGGCACAAGAACTGTGCTGTAAGATCGTCCTCTTTGTTGCTGTTATTGAGTCAGGTCCAGCATCAGGAACCTGGCAGCTGCTGCTCAGGAAGTCTGCTCTGTGCTGTCCATTACCTCTGCTCAGATCCCCACCCAGGGCTTCCAACCAGATCACCAAGCCACACTAAAAATAGCCAGCTCACAAAACCAGCTCTTGCCTCTCACCACTCCACCCTCAAAGTACAGACACTAACTATACTGCAAACAAAGGAGAATTCACTCCTCCATCTATTTATAAGCTGCTTATTCACAGCTTGCAAGCACAGATTCTTTTCAGATGAGGAGCTTGGGGGAAGAGGTTATGCTTTTTCTGGTTCCATGTTGCACAGAGCCAAGCACTCAACGTGGTCATTCCTTCACCAACTGAGGTTTTTCTCTTTCTTTTAGCTCTCACCTCCAGCCTTGGGGATATCTTGTCCATCACCATGCAGAGCATGATGCAATCCCACTCCCATGCCACAGTGAGAACGTGGGTTCTCTGGGAGAGCCAGGCATGTGGCAGGTGTATCCTGGTTTAACTAGCATAAACCATCTTTGCATTAATATAAAATGTTTATTCCTTCTTTACTCCACCTGTGACTCACAGCATATCTGCAGGACGAAAGGCACCACTGGACAGTTTGTCTGGGCACACATTCCCAGCTCTTGGCTACGCTGGAAGATCAGCAATAATGAGAACAACAGTGGAAAATGTCTGGCTAAAGACCAGGTCAAAAGTCTCCTTGCCTTGCTGCCCAGCCCCACATGGCTGACTCACTTTAGCAAGAGCTCCCATGACTGCTGCCTGACTTCTGGGAGCTTCTCTGATACCTCCATCATAAGACATAATTCTTCTAAATCCACCACAAAAGCAGCAGTGCATTAGTCCACCTTCCACAGTTGGGTCAGTGAGTTGCCTGTAAGCTACAGATTAGTTGATCACTACACTAGACAGCCAGAAGCCAAAGCTACACCTGCTAACCAACTCTATGTTCCTTATTAAAGACAGTGGTAGTTAAAAATTTCCTGTTTGCAAGTGCAAAAAGAAGTATTAGCAGCACTGAAGTGATGGAGGTCTCCATGGCATTTGTCCACACTCACCAACAGAACTTCAGCTAGGCTAACAGCTCTGCACTGCAATCCCCAGAGGGACTGGGGCAGCAAAACCTCTGTGGGTTCAGCCAACAGACCTGGAGGAGCCTTCAGCACAGCAGATGGTGTGAAGGTAAATGTGCTGGCTCTAAATCCAACCAGCTCCACCAATAGTGAAGAAGTGGCAATGCCACCTCCAAGGTGGCCAGCCCCTGCTGAAGCTGTCACTGCAGCACTTAAAGAGGCACCACAAAGACATTGGCTCATCAGTGCCACACCCACACCAACTCCAGGCCAAACTCCCACTCCTGGAGGTGGGAGAGCAGAGAGGGACCATCGGAGCACACCACGTCCCCTGAGCCAACTATCTGCTACCAGCTGCCTACAGGATGTGTATTCTGGTGACTGAGCTCCTCCTTGCTAAGCTGGGAAAAGGCAGAGATCCAGAAAAACTGCTTGGAGAAGTCTGTCTTTCCCTTTGTGGATAAGCAGCTGGATGGGCAAGGCTGTATTTTACAGTGGTACTTGGAGAAAGAAATAAGAAGACTCGCATTGTGAGATGACCAAGAGCTGAGGAACTTGTCAAAGCCACTGCTCTGGTGCTCCAATTTTTCCTTTAGTTCTCAACTTCTGGATGGCCTATTTTAATTAAGTGGAGGCAAGAGTCCAGAAAATTGCTCTTAAAATTGTTTCCTCTATTTATATGTAATTCTCTCACATTTGGACAGTTACCTGTTCACAGCTGGCCTCAGCTTAGGACTAAGAAGTCCTGGCAGTCATGACTCCCTGTTTTATCAGACTTTTGCACCACAAGAGAGAATAAAGAACAATGGGACACGTGACAGAAACAAGAGCCAAAAGGTAGCTCAGAAGACTAAAGCCATTTGACTTGCTTCCGTAAATAATTTGATTTCAAGTATTGGGAGAGTGGGTGTGGAATTAAGCTTTAAGAACTGGTCTAGATTTTACAATTCAAAGTTCAGAACAGCAGTACCACAGGCCCTGCTGAGTGCACACACAAAGTCCTGTTCCATTTTCACACACCACCAGTTAGAAATCGAACACTGGACCCACATACACACCAGTATCTTCTCCATGCCAGCTTAGTAGGCCAACTACAGCATTTTGTCCCTTCCCTGCTTTGTCATATCTGTTACAGAAGCCTTTGAAAATCATAACTAAAGGAGCCTTTACAGGGTTAGCAGAGCTCAGAACCTTTAGCATCTGCATGCTAGACTGGAAAGAAGGAGCAAGTGCAGAGCCACAGAAGCCCCAAAACCAAAAGTGCCTTATACAGAGTTCTCTAGTCAAGTGATAGAGCTTTTTTCCCCATTTGAAAGTATCCTGGAACAAGGAAGAGTGGATTTATTTAGTCCTCTGTCCTGAGTTGGTTGAAAAGCAGGCATTTCCTCAATAAAGATACTGTATGGATTTTAATTTCTACAACTACTCCACAGGCTAGAAGAGGACTAACTTTCTCCTGCTGTATTCATTTATGCTCCTCAGGCTGGAGAGAGCCACATATATTTGAGCCATGGCATGCAGTCTCCTCTCACACAGGCAGGCAATGAATATTTCTTGAATGAAGCAGAGAACATGCTACACAGCCTCAGCATGCACTCCAACACTGTACAATCAAAGAATTCTGTGTGTATCCCCCGCCCCTGCCCTTGCTAAGGTAATCAAAGCAGTAAATTATCCTTAGGGGCTCTGCCAGATCAGGTTTCAAAGTTGATCATTTCCCTGCACAAGAACACAGGCTTAGCTTAAAACCAAAACAAAACATAAAACCCATGCATGTTCTCCCTACTCTCCTAGGACTCTAAAGTTGCTGTGTGTTGCTTAAAATAAAATAAATAAAAAAACCTAAACAGAACACAAAAACTCACATTATTGTGCTTCTCATGTCATGTGAGAATGAAAAGACTGTACTGTACTAATTCAATCCAAAATTGCATCAAGATTACTTCACCAGTTCAGCAAGACAACTGTCTGCACAGCCTGCCAGAGCTGCTGACAGCAGTCACAGCAAGGAGGGAACAGAAATAGTTACACAGCCTGTCCCCACAGTCCCCTCTCAGCACCAAAATGTCAGCCCCCTTCTCCCAGTGACGGGTACCAATTTGCACTGTCACTCGCTGAATTTTCAAAGAGAGGCGTTTTTCTCTTCCCAGTGTTTGGGTGATAATACTCCATAACTATTTTGTTATCTTCTCTCCATTCCCTCCTTTCAAACCTCCCAGCTTGTGATGGCAACAGGGAGTTTGAGCAGAGCAGGGCTGCGGATGCAGGGAGCCATTCCACACCAGCCCGCCATCCTCATCTGCACCCACATGCCAGGGCTTATCTCACACTGGGGCTGGAAGCTCCTGGGAGCAAAGGCTGCCTTTCTACCTTGTTGTTTGCACAGCACATAGCACAGAGGCCTTCACAGGCTGATAGGCTTCAGGTGTTTTAGCAGTACAAACAGGAGTTGTGCAATGCCCCGGGGATGTCAAACAGCTGGGCTCTCTCAGCCCCTGCTTCTCATACCAACCCTGCAAATGGGCAGCGACTATTTGTTTGTGCAAACCAGTACCAATGTGTGAGGAGATCAGAGCCTGCTGCAGCCAGAAAGCATTCCTCACAGTTAAGGTCCTTGGAAATCCCCTTGCATAAGGAGTGCCTTGGGAAATCACACAGTGATAATGCTCTGGACCTAAACATTCATCACTGGCATCACCAATTAAGGCTTGTGTTTCAGAGGTGCGCAAAATATCCAGCTCTCTCTCCACTACAGAAGATAAGTCTGATTTGGCTTGAAAAAGGAAGTTTAACCATCTAAGTGAATCCACCTAGACTAAGTAAACCCACATTTTTCACCTTTGCTGTTTTCAACATAATTCCTCACTACACAAAGCTGCTCTCTAGCCTCCAGCAATGAAGGGGCATCTCGGGGAGATTCACAGTGCCTGCTTTTTGCTCATCTCCATCTCCTCCCACTCTGAGGGCTCACCTGTAGTCATGGGTGAGGGTGACACAAGACTCCTCCTTCCTCAGCCTGGCCAGGAGTGCTCCACCCTCCAGCTGCAGCCTGACCAGCCGTGTGTCTTCAAGAACATTCTTCATCAACTGCCTGTAGGTCCTCAGCAGCACAGCTGCATCCTGGAGGGATCACAAGAGTGAGATGAGCAGTTACTGCAACCTACAGGCAATGAGGGAACAGGCAAAAACCAGCACCCAACCCAAAACACACCCAAACCACATCTCACCTGGGCCCACCCTAGCAAAAGGGGAGGCTGGTTCCCACAGATGTGTCTCTCAAGCCTGCCAAGTCCCAAGTGATAAACAGCGCTCCTTATTGTGACCCAATTCCCATCATTGTTGTTCCATTCATTTGCTGGGCACAGAAGGGATTCAGCCTCATCTTCCACTCACAGCTAGCTCCTACTGTTCTGAGAGCCTAGACCTGCATGGCCTCAAGCCTTGGGACAAGATGGATGTAGTATGATATCTTCCCCTGATTTACTGCTGGGACCCTCAGTGCAGAGCTGGCAGCGATGTCCTACCTACCATGTCAGGGGTACAGCAGCTTCTCAAGAGGGGGAAGAGAATGTTTGTGACAGCACAGGCTTGGTGTTTGTACCTTCCCCCTCTTCCAGCCCACTTCCAGACTTCTGTTCTGGAAGCAGCAAAGCTGGAACCACACACAGAACTGTGCTGTCACCTCACTTTATTCCAGGCCATTTGAACCAACCTGGTGTGGCACAGCCCGAGGCAGCTGCTCTGCCCTGGGCACACCAAAGCTCGTGGCAGCTACAGAGCTGTGGAGCTGCTGAAAATGCACTCCAGTGCTGGAGCCAGCACCCATCAGCAACAAGCCCAGCTGGAGAGATCTGGGTGACACTGAAGGATCAATGAGCCACCGAAGCTTCTACCACTTCATTTGGATCAGCCTCTACTAGTCCCACTGTCCTACCAGCTCCTCAGTGACACACAGCACTTGGAACATTCTGCTACTACAGCTTGCAAACTCAAAGCTACAGCTTTTCTGCAGCTTTTCTGAGCTACCCTGCTCTCTTCTCTCTCAGGCCCACCTCTGATGACAGGTGAGGGACAGGCTTACCTCAGCCTTTTCTGGTAATTTTCCAGATTCCACTTTATGAATAGCTCCCTGAAGGAAGGCACAAGCACCTTGGCATCCTTGTAGCAAGTGTTCCAGCTTCTATGAGAAGAAAGGACCAAGGCAGAGATTATTGTCTCACAGCTGACAGGAAAGGTGTGTTTTGAACTTGCAGAGGGTTAAAAGTACAAAAACCAAGAGAGAATCAAACACATTAACCCAAGGGTTCAATTATACCATCTGGTGAGGCTCAACCAGCAGAGAGAGGCCCATCACACTACCCCCAAGGCCTCTATGCAGACTTTATAAACTTGCATACTCGTGCTTGTATGGGCCATGCTTTACAGAAATCAGTCCACTTATGTCCCACATTCTTCTATTATTAGCATTTCTTGTAACTTCCCATGAAGATGAATCACTATGCACGGATTTTAGAGAAACAAAACATAAAACAAGTACTTGGAATTTTTCTACTTTAAATCATTCTTCTTCATGTTAAAAGTAGTGCAAATTAAAGAACAGGAAACTGGAAAGCTTCCAAAATTAAGCACCTTAAGCTATGGACAAATCTGAAATCCTTCCTTTCTTCGGAGCAGGGGGGAAGGGGAGAGAAAAACAAACAAACAAACAAAACACCAAACTTTTCATAAGAGTTCATGAGATTATTTTTTAGAAAAGTCAGAGACATGAAGCCTAAGTATTGTCAGATGCCACCCTTTCGTCACTGGAATCAGAGCAGGGAGAAACAGCTATTCCAAAATAACCATGCTCAAAACAAAACAAAAAGGCAGCTGTTTGAATCCGTACTGAACCGAACTCCCTCCTCCCCGGAGTGCTGGAACAGCCCCAGCAGTGACAGATTAGCAGGCAGGATGCAGGTGAGATCACTGAGACAGGAAATAAATGCTATTTGCCACATAGCTGCAGAGCTAAAGGAGCTGAGCACGTGGGTCATTATCACACACAGTACAGACAGGCAATCCATACAAACCAACTCCCATATTAACTCCCTTTGGTAACATTTTATATGTTAAGATGTAAGACACAAAGGAGTAGTCTGATATCATGCTCCTTCCCTCAAGAATTACCCTCCTGCACACACAGAGCACCTCAGCTCTTGAGGTATTCTCAACTCTGCCCAGAAAAATTAACCCATAACCTCTTGCAAAGTTCCTCTGCTTCCTCACTGCCAAATAAACTTCAGCATCTCGAATTCAATCCCAGGCACCAAGATTAGGCTTCTGTACCTCTGCATCAGCACAGGTCCATCCTAGTATTTTTAGATGAAAGTTTCAAAACTGGGTTCTAAAATAAGTTGGAAAAGATAAATTAACATTTGCCACATGCTAAGGCTAACTGCTGAAGCCTCCTACCAGTGCCACAGTGGTTTTATCAATGACATCTTAATCTGTTTCTGCACTGTACCATGCAGCACTCCGGGCAGCGGGGTCGGAGCCAAAAGACCACTGGATCCTCTGGAAGCTGAGGTGACAATTCTGTCATCCACCAGGGTGAGCAAGTCAAACTCACTGTGAAGACAGCCAGCTTGTGTGCAGATTTACAGAGATTTAATCCTGTCTAGTCTCAGCATGCCAAATAACTCCTAACTCTCAATACAGCTTTTAAAGATTCAAACAGCACATGAGTCCACAGCACTCAGGCTCCCTCCACAGCACAAGCACACACAGAGCTGGGCATTGGTGCCACAGATGCAGATTTCTGGCAGTCTGCACGTACCCTGCTGCATGGAAGTGAAAGATATTCCTAAAAGAATTCTGAACTGATTATCAGGAACTTCAAGTACTGCAGTTTTCCTATGGGGCTCTTAGCTTGATCTGGGGAACTTGCTCCAAAACCAAAAAGACTTAACTATTTTTATTATGCTCAAATTCTTGACTGTTAGTTCAATGGAAACACGACACCAACACGTTCTCCTGAGATTAGTTTAAGAAATGTATGTTCCCAATCCTCTAACTGAAGAGCCACTCTGTATAAAACAAAACAGGATTCCATTTCGGATTTGACCATATCTTGAAGGGAAGGAAGAATTAATGCAGTTCAGGGAGATGAGGTGAAAACTAAAATTTTACTTCCTGCAGTCATGCACCCATTTTATGAAGACAGTATTAGCATTCTTTTGATAACAGAGATTCATTTGAAAACATAACTGTTACAAGAACATTGTCTTTTAATGCTCGTAGGCTCAGCTGTTGACAGGTTCCTCTTGCTTGCACTCTGTTCTGTGCCACTGCTCCTTCAGATGCCAAAGCACACCCAGCCCACTCACCATGCGGAAGCTCAGCCAGTCCCGGTGGCAGTAGGGGAAGGTCCCATCCAGTTCCAGAGGCAGCTGTGAGCTCTCTATGTGCTTATGGAGGGATTTCATGGAGGTGAGGAGTTCAAACTGCACAGGAATAGAAGGAAAAAAAAAAAAGCACGCTTGCTTTAGAGTGTGAGATTTGGAGGAGGAGGGGAAGGTTAACAAAAGACAGAATCCTTCATTTCTTTATCTATCTTGCACAGAAACACGACACACAGTGTATATCTACAATATCACTACAATATGAAGGAGAAAAAAAAAATCAATTCGATCTCAGAGCAGCTTGTTGAACAGCTCAGTGGGCGAACCCTGAAGGAATGCAGGCCACAACACGCTGTTCCACCAGGCAGAACATCTGTGATGGAAGTCTGGCAGCAGCCAGCCTTCTCCAGAGCCAGTACCTCCTGGTGTAAGCACAGCAACTCCCTCACATGTTCCCACATTGTGCTCCAATTTGCATTTGTTTGGAGAGTCTGGGAGGTTAAATCCAGCCCCCAGCTTCCCCGTCTCACTTCCTGGAAAAACAGTCTAACAGAGCAGTCTCTGCCCTGCCCTCAACTCTCCACTCAGCAGCTATTTGCTACAGGAGTTTCATGGATCTTGACACAGATTACTTGCCTTCTGCGAGTCTGTAGGACCTCAGAGGATTTTTACACTCACTAAAGCAACAAGTGCTCCTGCAGGTACATGGAAGCCAGGCCAGACACAAACTCAGGTGCAGACATTTAATTCCCCCCCCACACACTGTGAAGTTTCCACCTCCTTACAAAATAGTGATGATGCTCCCAATTCCTCCTGCATGCCCGGGTCTTTATTAGCCTTTCCTCTGCTCCCTCCTACGCTCTTTGTATTTGTTCAGAGTGTTCAATGTCTTCTGTAGCTCTCCCTGCATGCACATGCCTGCAGTCAGTCCATTCTGACTTCAAATTCTTCCACGAGGGGCAATGAGGAAATGGACTAATAGCATTTGTTATTCTTTAGCCTTTGGGACACTACACCACACACACAGCAAACCTGATGCCTATCACAACCTCTTCATCCACAGGAGCCAAAAGGGAGGTACTGGCCTGCTCTGAAGCCTTCAGGGTTTCAGCAGGCACAAAATTTCAGTCCAATCTTGTCTCTTGCAAGAGTCTTAAGAGCAGAGGGAGGACTAAGATGCAGTCTGATATCTATTCACTCACCACAGGGTGGCTGGGAGCCTACATTTATACAGCTATGGCATACCAAGGCAGTTTTACTACTAGTGGGGGGAATTCACTGATGTTGTGATAACTTTCCCTCCTGTTAGTCTTCTCAGACATTTCAGCAAAGGGAACTTCAAACAAATGCCCATCTCCTCTTCCCCTTCTTGCAGAATCTCTCAGACACTGACAGCAGCACGTATGAGGAGAGGAAACAGGAGATATGCAAAATCCAGGAAAGCAACAAGAACCTTCAAAGGGGGAGGTTCAGGATTCAGCCTAATGTGATCTCTTCCTAACCAAGGATTTCCCCCCTTGTTACTGGCATGAAAAGCATTACTAGTGCTGTTAATTGTGCAGGGCTCCTCCACACAGCTATTCATGTTCCCAGCAAACCCCCTGGTCCTGAGGGCCCCAGCAGACTGACACAATTATGGTACGAATGTCACTGATGGACTCGGCAATAAACAGAGCATGAGAGAGATCTGTTCAGCCCCCATAAACATTACAACCCCATAAATACCACACCTGCAAGAGACCACAACCATAAAACACAGAGAACAGCCACAGAGATTTCATGTGAGAATAAACATGATACCAACCACAGAGAACTCACTGTTTGGAGAGTTAAATGAAGGATATCACGGGCTGCCCAGCAAACCCCCAGGCTCCATTACCTGTCTCGCTGGTGGCTTCTCCATCCGAAAAGTCACATCTCTTTCAACCAGAAGCAGTACCCCATGAATGCAAGGAGGATCCATGTCCTACAACAGAGCAGAGCACAAATCCATTACTGATCTGTCTGGGATACTAAGGAGGATGTACCATACCAAGTTCCTACACCAGATTGCAATTTATCCTTCAAAGGCATCTAGGAAGCCCAGAAGGCAGTCAGCAGGAATTAGGGACGGCCAGTCTACAGAGCACCAAGGTGATGTCCTTAAGGTAGTTTGTTTCAGATCAACTAGTCCTGTAATATTTAAGGAAGCAATGGAAGAGCTCAGGTCTTGGCTGTACTAAAAAAACTCTGCCTTCTACACAAGGAAGTGTGTCAGGGTTAAAATAGACAAAATGAAAAAAAAAAAGCAAAACCAAAAACCGTGTTCAGTGTCCAAGTTTTTTCTCGGTAACTTTCCTGGTCACCTCACCTAACCAAAAGGAAGCTGGGTTTTTTTTAAAGCCCACAGTGCCAAAGAGGTCAACTTCTCTTTACTTACTGCCAATTTACAATCAAGTACTTGCATCCTGTTTCTACTGTTAAACAGATAGAAATCCCAAATACAAGGGATGTCTGGCAGCTGCAGTTCAAACTCAGTGATCCAGGAGCAGCCCTGCAATTATAGAAACGCTCTACACGGAAGTGAGAAACGGGCACAGGGAGCGACAGCAGGAAGAGGGAAACGTGGCAGAAAGATCCAGACCATGGAGAGAGGGCTCACCACATATGTGATGCCTGGACCAGGAAAGCAAAGAGAAGAAGCTGTCATTCCACATGGTTAAACAAAAGCCATCCCATTTGGATGTCTCCTACACGGTCTTCGTGTCTGCAAGGATCTCAGGAACTTGAATCTTGTCAAGAAACAAATCCTTTGTAGTACTGCCCAAGCTGCAAGGGAACTGCCCCAGAGCAGCCCATGACAGCAAAGGGAACCTGTTTAAATAAACAGCTCCAGCCATGTGTAGGCTCAAATATCTGCCAGGAACAGCAGAGCCAGAGTAGAGAGGCAAGTGGACCAGCAGAGACTGAGCCATCTAACACGACACTGGGCCCTGTTCAGCAATTAAGAAACAATGCCAACACAAGGAGCCCCAGTTCTGCAAGTGAAAACAGCAGCAGAGATTCCAGAACAGAGGGAAAAGACCTTTCTCTCATCCAGTCCTAAACCATGATCCTTTCAAACAGGGAGGAAAAAATCCCAGCTGAAACATCTTCCAAAACTGTGAGAGGTTTCTAATTCTTCTCAAACCCCTTTCACCAAAGGTACTTATTCACACTTTCACTGTTATTCGAACACCGATCAAAAGAGGCCAGAAAAAGAATTTATTGTATAATAAGGCTGCATTAGGTAAATACTGAAGGTCATCTGAAGAGAGGATGGGGAAATATTACAGCTGTATCAGTAGCTCTCAATTTATCTGCTAGAAAGTACTGAGGGATGAAGACTAGACACAGCTTCAAGACAGATGATGGTACTAAACACATTTATTCTTACACAATTCCTCTTCTACTCCAACAGTCATGAGATGAGGGATAAAGGTAGAGATGGTGTAACAAGAGGTTACCAAAACAGCCAAAACACTCACTTGTTTGTTTGTTCTGAAATAGAAACTGAAAATAGAAACTGAAAAACCATTCATAAATAAAGCTGTCAAGGGAGAAGTTCACAGTTTTCCAATCCAAGAAGAAGCTGCATTTCCAAAGAAATCAAGTATTTTTCACCATATTGTTTTTAATTTAAGCAGCTGAGGGAAGATGAACAGCACTGATGGAGCAATCCAAAGACTGAAACAGTTACAGAAGTGCCTCAGGAGACAGGCAGAGCTGGAAACAGCAGGACGCTACCTGAGGAAGCTTTCTTGCAGCTTTCTGCACAATCTCTTACCACTTTTGCTAACAAAGCCAGCTATTTGGAAGCAAAGAAACAGAGTTCCCCACATATAAGTGAACTCCTCACCTCCCAAAACAGGTACCAATGTGGACAGGCTAGAATAGAGGGGTATCATCAACAGGAGCTCAGAAAGCACCAGCATAAACAGCCATCCCTTTATTATTATTCTTTAGAAAGAGAATTAGATACTTTCTTCAACGTTTCCTAGACTGAAGTTTCAGTCTTCTAGCTTCCTGCTCCAAGTGGAAGCCCATAGCCAGACTTAACTGGCAGAGTCTGAAGCCAGGGCTGACAGGAATGTCTGTGCAGAGGGGAGAGTGCCCAGATACCCCAGTCAATCTCAGTGACCACTCTACAGAAGTCCTCTGTACTTCTACAGTGAGTGGGAATTCGAATGGAAATAACTTTTGAACAGAAAGGTTCGCACAGAGCTTCTCTGTTTTTAAATGCTAAACAGACTCTTCCCAACCCAACACACTGATACAGCACATTACAGGACTAAGCATTCACCCTGATTTGTGAAATTCAAAACAACCTCCCTCTACTAAGACTCAGGCAGAGGGAAATCCCACAGATACCTGCTATTGAAGGCCAGTGCACACGCTCCACTGCCCATGCCCTGCCTGCTCACTGAGTAAGGGTTCAGCCCAGCACTACTGAGCAGCAAAGCTCCTCTGATCAGGCCCCCCAGCACAGAGCTTGCTGGTGACAATGTGTGACCAAACATCACGGCAGTCACCTCTGCAAAATTCCTTGCTCCAAAGCATCATGACACAGTCTCCCACAGGAACAAGCAGGATCTATTCTTGCAGCATGGCCACACTGTGCATTTCCCTTCACCTCCATACACAGCTGCCAGAGTTCCTCCAGCTTCTTCCTGAGTTAGCTCTGCAGCAGCTCTTTATTCAGCCCCTGCTCCCTCTGCTCCCACTGCTGTCTGGGACAGAAAGATTTCCCAGCTACCCAGTACTCTGAAAAGGAAGGGGGGGGGGGAAAGTCCTGCAGAATGTAACTGCAAGGCAGAGGACAAGCTTCCACCAGTTTACCAGGTGGGTCCAGGCAGAGCAATGGACACGTTCCCAGTGCTGGAGGGAAAACTAACCTGAAAGCACCAAAAGCTGTCCTTTAGCACTTAATTCCAGTCGTGCATTCATTCTGCATAGATGGTAAAGTGGAAGAAGGATTTCCTCAGACTGACAGATCCTGACCCAGGAACCTCTACTCCCCAGGATCAGTTTTCACTCCCCAGGAGCCTCTCTAGGTTTAACAGATTCGGATCCTGCACTGCAGCAGGAAAGGACTCTGCATTAGGGCATCTGATCTGTGCTTAACCACTGTGAAGCAGTGCTTCCAGCTGCTGGGTCAAGAGGAAAACAACCCCTGGGAATTTAACAAGTAACACTGGACTTCAGCATTTAACAGATTCTATCACATTATCAAACAGGCTCCACAAAAACCATGTAAGTAAATTCCTGTTTCAGTAAAGAGCAGGACAGCAGAAAAATGAGCTCCAGACAGTCTGCCACAGGTAAGAGACACTGAGATGTGTCAGGGATTTCAGAAAGGACCTCAAGGAGATGACCTGCTCTGTGACCTTAGAAGCATAACATACAGACTGTGGTTCTGCAGCCACTGGCCAGCAAACCCTGCTGCACTCTGGAACACTTAGCCTGCCTCACTGCAGTTACACTCAGCTTTCTGTATTACTCTATCCTTGTTTCAGAGCAGAGGAGAATATTGCCATGGGATCACGGAGCAAATGCTGAAGATCTCCAAAAGGCTCAGAGGAGCCAGGGATTACTCCTTGCCATAATCAGATAATAAGTTCCCCAAAGGGGTCTCCTTTAAGGAGTCTTCAGAAGAGTCAGCATAAGATTCAAAAAACCATAAGCAGAGTAATCAGCCTCTGTCAGTCACTTGTTACCTGAAGCACACACTGAGGTCCAGCAATCTGTCTTGCAGCACGTTAATCTGTTAACTAACTGTTGCACCACCCTGATAAGGAGGTGTTCAGAGCCAAACAGCCATCACAGCAGGATATTTCAGAGGCACTGCAAAAAGCTTCCCCCCTCCCTCATTTTAGGGAGGAAACTTCAGGTTAAAATGGCATTATTACCATGCTTCTATGAGAGTGGGGACAGCCAGAATACGTTGCTGATTTCCAAATCATCCCACTAAGACCACTATGCAATTTACATGGGCAGTGAAACCCTGAAAAGCTTTAGCAAGCCCACTGCCATGTGGGCACAGCATAAAAGAGAACATACTTGTTTGTTACCTCTGCAGAACTGAGCAGGGCACCAGATTACTCCTTCACCACAGAGAATGAGGACGCTGATAGAGCTCACAGCTCCACCCAGCCCAGGAAGCAGGAGGACAGACCTCTGACTCAGACCCAACTCTCAGATGTGGCACTGAAGCACATAAACCACAGACATCAGCTTCATTACAACATTGCCCTGTTCCAGTTTGCAGAGTTTGAGTCCTAAGAGACCTAAGCTCTGATTTAAGAGGAACACCTGCTTAAACAAGATTAGTCATCACTACAACCCAGCAGCTCCCTGGCTTTCCAACAGAGCAGACAGTTTCTATCTGGGAGCGGGGGCAACACAACCCACTGGCTTTCCAAGTGACTGATATGAAAGCCTTTGACCTGAAGCAATATAGAGTTACAGCACGTCCGATTCCAATCAATCACCGACAGCTACATCAACAGCTGCATGTGCTTTTCCACCTGGCATGGCAAGCAGTGTCCTTCCCTTCCCAAGGCAGCAGGCAGAGCCCTCTCTTCCTCCCTTCTCCATGGTGGGCAAAAATCCCTGCACATCTCACACAGCCCCTCAGCGCAGGGGACATCTCCAAGCAGGATAATTCCTCACAGCATTTAGACTTGGGTACAGGCTCTTCTCAGCACCGAGATGAAAGCAAATTTTCAGGGATGGGGAGAAGTGTTCTCACCTAACTCAGACTTGCTTTGGGTTTTTTCGCTTTGTCTGCAGCCTGGTGAGGCCAGGTCATCCTCCTAAAGCAGTGCTGGGCACATAACTCCACCTCCCAAAGCCAACTGGAAGCCAGGTGCCAGATGGAGACAAAAGCAGCAGATGGAGATGTCCCATCCAAGCACACAAGCCAGCCAGTGTTGCTCTGCCCAAGCCCAAGGCTCACCTGCAATATGCTGAACGCCTTGAAGAGAGCAGGAACCGGGGAACAGCGACGAGCATCCACGAGAACAGTTAGACCCAAAGCCTGACACTCTGGTCTGCAAGGACAAACATAAAAAGGTCACCT